ATCTTCTTGCACAACCAGTTGCACGATTCTTAATAGCTAACAATTTACATAAGAAGATAAGTCTCCATTCCTTTCACCCTTTACTTTTCTCTCTTTTAAACTTATCTATTCATCAGCCTCGACTGACCTTTTTTTATTTGGTTGATTACATGATAGGTCAAACCACTGATTCCGGTTCGTCAAATTTCCCAATGGCTCGAGAAATGCAGAAGGCCTTCATGGATTGTGAGGACCCGGTCGAATGGAATTCACGAGACAATCATGTCCGATGTTTTGCTCATAAACTCGGATTGGTTGTAAAGCATGGCTTGAGTTCTCTACGATTGTCCGCTGGTCACGTCAAACCAACAACTCCACCACATGTTTCAGTCCCAGTCCCCTCACTCATCCTCAACGACGACCTTGAAGCATTAGCCTTGATTTCTGAAGACGATGAAGATGAAGATGCAATTCCCAATCACTCAGGCCGGTTAAATGTAGTTGATGATTTAGATTTTGATGAAGAATATGAAGGTTTTGGTTATGATGATGAGCCAAGGAATGGCTGTGTTGTGGTTCAGGGTTATCTCAAGGTATGTTTCCTTTCAAATGCTTCATTCATCCTTTTTAAGCAGGTATACTGACATCTCTCCATTTTTGAAGCTCAAGGAATTCAATGCATTATTGACCCGAAGCAGTGCTCGCCGTTGCGAATTTCAGGCCCGAGCTGCTCAGATGGGCTATAAGGGGCCAGCACTGATTGCTGGGTGGGGTGTTCGATGGAACATCGACTTGAAGATGTTCTCTAATTTAGTTAGTGCACGCGATGTAAGTAGTTTCTTTATTTTCTACTTCATTTGTTCTAATCTCTTGCTTTCCTCTCTCTAATGCTGACACCCTTCTCTCTAGATTGTTGACTCCATCTTGATTGCCGATCGGAAGACTAAGTACTACCAGGGTATCATGATGACCATGGAAGAATGGGATGCTGTGGAGGCCTTCTGTTTGGTTTTAGAAGTAAGTTCCATTTTCCTTCTGGTTTTCTCGTCTAAGTGAATTGACTAACCTTTTGAATGAGCTTACCCATCAGGTATTTCGGTTATCAACCAAGCGGATGGAGGGCAATTTTGCCTCTGGATCAATCCTTCTAGCTGAATACCTTCGAGTGTCCGAAACCCTCCAGCAGATTCACGACAGCTCAACCTTCACATCCATAGTGAGCATGATCGATGTCATGTTACCTAAACTTGCCCAATATCAGCAAGAAGCGGCATCAGCGGAAATTATCTTGATGGCCACTGTTCTTAACCCAAGATATCAATTGAAGTTCTTCGATGTCACTGTAAACATCATTCAACTTCCCCAATTTGGCAGAGGAAAATGATTAATAGTACAGTTTTTCATAAAAGAATCTAATACTGCACACCTGGGCCATTTCACCCACACTACATATGTGCAGCAAGCTAAGTCAATAGTTGTCTATCATGTACATACAGGTCTGCTCAGTTTTTTGCCCATCAGAATAAATAAATCACATGTTATACCACATGTAACTTTTTCGACTTTGAAATTTTTTTCCCAAAAATTCACTACATATAATTCTGTAGCTGCTCAGGCAATATTGTTGAAGCTATGTCTTAGTAACAGAAAGTGTGTTACATGCAGTTGAGTTGATGAGATCACACCAAAACATTGAGTCAGTGTATGTAGTCAATCTTTTGGAAGCTTTTTTCAATCTGAAAGAAGTTACAGCATGTATTACATATGAATAACTTGTCCTGATGAGCAGATAACTGAGCAGAACTGTATGTACATGATAACCACATATTCACTGAGCCTGCTACACATATGTAGTGTGGGTGTTATGGCTCAGGTGTGGAGTGATAGACCATTTTATGACAAATCATACTCCCAATCATTTTTCCCTGCCCACTTGGGGAACCCGAATAATGTCTGCAGTGTGTTCACTATGCTGAACACGCTGACCGAGCCAAAGGTGGTATTCAATGTATCTTTAATAAAGCAGTGGAGGATTGGCCAGCCACTCCTGAAGTCACCCCACCTCCCAATTCGTCCCAACCTTCAAGAGACCATTTCGATCATTTTGACATATTCACCGCTGAAATCTTGTCTGACAACTCTTCAAAAGTCCGGGCTGCTGAGCTTGATCGGTACCTTCAAGGCATTGATCCTATCTTGCCTGGTCAATCTGAACTTACTTGGTGGGAGGTTCGTTTCATCTTTTTTTGTTGAGAGTTTTTCAATCAAGAACTGACCTGGATAATTCATACTATTACAGGAACATAGCGAACAGTTCCCGGTCCTTGCTTCACTTGCTCGCGATTACTTGTCAATCTCGGCCACCTCTTGTTGCGTTGAACGCACTTTCTCGTCTGCATCAGATATTGCTGTACCTGGACGAGGTGCTTTGAAGCCAAAGATGATATCAATGGCTGTTGGTTGTAGGGAGTGGCTTCGGGCTGGTATTGAAGTTCTTGGTCGATTTTCAGATGCAATTACTTATGTAGCATCCTATGCTTTGAATTCAAAAAGAAAGACTGCTGTCTCTAACATTTTGGATTACTTTTATATTCAATCCGTTTTCTCTTTGATGGTCATATCTTTTACCTATTTCCTTTTCTTTTAAATGTCTTGTTTTGAATTTCCCGCCGATTACCTTTCAATGTCCATTTTGTTCTTGTCTCTTTTCCTTCCACTGTCTTTGTTTTTTCAACCCTGTTTGGTGCTCGCTCAAAGTCTGATTTTCATTTCTATTCACTCGTTCAACATGTTTTTTTCTCAACTTTTGTTGTCTGTTTTCCTCAATCTTTTTTTTTTTGCTTTCTCCTTTTTCCTTCTACTGTCTCGCTTTTTAAACACTGTCTGCTCTTGCTGAATGTCTCTCTTCAATTTCTATTCACTCGTTCAACACCTTTTCTCAACTTTTGTTAGCAGTCTCTTTGTTTGTCCTAATTTTGGTTTGTTTCTCTTTGTAGCAGACTGTTTATATCTTATTCTTATGTACATTTTGAAAATAAAAAAAAATTGTGAATAAAACACTCGCCCGGCCCGCTGCAATGCCTGAAAATTTCCCTGAGCGGAGCGAGAGCGGAGCGAGAGCGGAGCGAGAGCGGTCTGAACAATCGCCACGCTCCCATTAGTGTGTAGCGCTTGCTTTTTGAAAGCGGATCGAGAGCGATTGTACTTGTAGCGGCTTCTCGCCCCACTACAAAAAAAGTGGCTTAGAGCGACGCGAAGCGGGGCGGTTCAGACGTTGACTCAATGCTTTGAATTTCAGCAAAACTGTGGACATATCTCCGGCCAAAGATATTGTCTTGCGAGTAAAGCTGTTCACAGTCACCAATGCCGGTGCAATCGACTATGTATTGGGTGTATTAAGGGAGGTAAGCATCCGCAAAGCTTTTTCGGAATTCAGCTCCGAAGAAGGAGCACTCAAGAGATCTTTGGTATTGGCAAAGGCCAAGGATTTCCTCAATGTACATAACAGTATCCCTTGTTGTGTGATTTTCCTCGCAGCTCCGGAGGCTCGGATGCTTGCTTCCGATCTTACCATGAGGGTATGTAGTGAAGGCCAGAGGGCGATCCCTTTTTGTAAAAGCATTAAGTGATGCTCAGATGTATGTTATTAGGTACCTTCTTTATGATGTCAATTGCCTCTTCCAAAACTTTGAATGTCCCTATTGTCATACAAGTTGTATGGATCGGTGTGGAAATATCACTCCGCTTTATCCAAAGATTTTCTTTTACAATTGTTTGTTATGATATACTATTTGGACTCAAAATGACCTCGCTCACATGTCAATGTATAAGGCCTTATCAACTCAGTTATCAGGGTTACTTGACACCGGCAGGCACCATTCAATGTTGTCGATTTGACTGCTAGTGGTACTTTGAAAGGCTTTTGTTGATGATACTTTTTGATCAAAGAACACTCGTCGGACGTACTCGATGTGCACAACACAATCAGGAGATGATGCAATACTAGAAATCCACATTACGGATTGCATCTTTGCTTCTATATCCGACCAAAGTTGCCAGCGTGCAAGGGTTTTGATTCACAAAGATTGTAGTTGAAAGAAGCCCAGTTTAACATTGAGGAACAAATCCACAATTCGTATAGCCATGCCAGTGGCAAAAAACTCTAAAGGATGAGCAAACGATGTGGAACAACTCAAAAAAAAAAAAAAAGAAACCCTGTTCAGTTGCAATTGTTCATCAGCCCTCTTTATCAATGATAAAATGCTTTCAAGTTTCAAAGAGAGAAGAGAAGTAAAATCAACTTACGTCTGCTGCATCCACCAACGTACATCTAATTACCTGGGCGATGCCGATAAGGCATAGGCATAGCACTCCCGCCCCACCACTTCTCTTCACTGTTTTGAGGTTATGGTTCGAATCATTAGTAAACTTTGTGTAAATGTGTACAGGAAGGTGAAGAAAGGAAGTACATTTCTTTGGGTTTCGCTTTGTCTCCTTGAACAGATGAGGTACGACGTTCAAGACTGTGGTATTCGGAAAGAAGCATAATTTCAATTTAAATGATCAGTTTGAAATATCTTCCGATGAGATGATAGATCGAGAGGTCTACTTACCTTGAATCTTGAGGCAAGTTACGAGTCATCAATTTATTGTCGTCGGACTCGGGACTGCTATGCTCACCAAACAACAAAATAAGCTAACTGAAGCACAATATGTCTTCAACAAGAAGCAAAACCTACCTCGGATGGGGCATTGCGATTATAGTAGCTGATCAGGCGGGAATCAGACAGATGGTGAAATCAGACAATTGTGATGCTTATAATGAAGCAAAAAAAGTTCAATACGAGAAAAAATCAAATACCTGCAAGTGAAACCATGGCGGCTGATATGATTGAGACTTTCATTTTGTGGATAAGTGAATATAAAGATTTAAGGAAGAACGAAGTTTGTGATATTTGTTCACTTAAATTTAAAGTAACAAGCAGAGAAGTTATGCAAGAGAAAGTCTGGGCTCTTTTTGTATAAGTAGCACAGGGAATGGGAATTCTGCGATGGTGCTCATGGAAAAGTGCTAGGGCCCGTTCGGCTCGATTTCCCAAAAGTTGTCACGCAAAAGCGATTTTTGATTTTGCCCCTTTTTTGAGGGGCAAAATCAAAAACGTGAAACTCGGCTTTTCCATTACCGAACAGTCAACGAAAAAGGTCAACGAAAGATCATTTATTGATTGAACGAGGGGGGCAAAAGCGGCTTTTGACTTCAAAAACAGCCTCAAGGCTGTTTTTGATTTTGAACCAACTTTTGATCAAAAGTGGTTTTTGTTTGTGATATTTGTTCACCTAAATTTAAAATAACAAGCAGAGAAGCTATGCAAGAGAAAGTCTGGGCTCTTTGTGTATAAGTAGTGTAGCTTTTGACCAAAAGTGGCTTTTGGGTTCCAGCCGAACGGGCCCCTACTTTGTCCAATTTTTCCCGCCAAATTGCTCGAGTTTTGCGGGAAAACTCGGACAAACTTTTCGAGAACGACAGTACCTAAAAAGTGAGGTCATCTCACGGGAGCAATACACTAAAAACATGATGGGAACTTCCTGAAACTTCAATACTCTTGCGACATGACCCTGGTCCCTAATAAAAAAGTCTCTCGATGCTTCAACAGCTGTCATTCAACAAGTTGAATCCGCTGTCTTGGAATGAGGGACTCACCCCCAAGGTGACATGTTTTTGGCCTGAGGGGTAACTTGGATTTCTCTTTTCCGTGAGCGCACCAAGGAACATGATCCACCCTTACACCCAGAGATGCGCTGAAGCTCCCTACATATTGTGCAACTCCAATTGTCGCCATTCGCCCTTTGGTTCTTGAGCTACATGAATTTGGATTTTTGTAAATTCACTTGTAGCTTGGCTGAAGTCAAGCGACTTATTCCCATAGCAGTGACTTCGACAAGAAGAGTTCAAGATGTGACTTTACCTTCCAGAAGCTTCATGTTGCATAACTTGTTTATTCAATTCACTGATCCCTTCGAAAGGATTCATTCAAAGATCCGAATTATCAAGATAAATTAAACCATCGACTACGACCGCAAAAAAATCCACGATAGCAACATCAACTACATAAGGATAACAAAAACAGAAGCCCACTTCTTCACTGTGGCAATCTGAACTTGTCTCATTACTCTTGCTCTCATTTAATTTCCCTAATCTCAATCTCTTACACACTTAGTTTCACTTGTCCTGAAGAAGCTCCTTTAAAAGAATCACAAGATGGATACTTTTATAAAGTTTGGTTACACTTCTCATCTTGATCATCACTCATAAAACAATTATGGAAAAATGAAAACATGTGATTTTGTTTTGTTACTCATTAAGGACCAGGCACAGATTTCCTGGTTTGCGCTTGTTATTAGTAGGTAAAAGCACTTCTAGACTGATCTTTGACTTTGAGATCTGCTGATGATATTGGATGATCTCACTTAGAGTGCATGTGACATGCTAGAGCATGTCACACACCTACCTATCCTAACACCATGCCTAAAAAGGAAATGGAAACAACAGTCTAAATCGGGCCAAGGCAACAACAGAAGCCGGCCCAATCATAAACAATGAAGTTCCCTAAACCCTATCATTGACCCATATTCAAACTATATAAGTACGGAACTTTTTCCCAAAAACAAGGAAGAGAATTCATCCTTTACCATAACCACAAAAACCAAGAAATCACTATTTCAGCCTTTAGATTCCAGCACCTACAAACTCCTTTTGAATTACTCTAGAACCTTCTTATCTTTAGAAAACTTCTCTTGTAAAACTTGAATAGTGTTGTTGTTGAAAATCATTTTCTCTATCATTTTCTTATCCTTTTACTCAAAGGTGTTACAAATTGTTTAGTTAGAACTATTCAACTAAAGTCCTTCTCTCCCTTTTCTTTTGATAACACACTTATCAACTAGCACTGAGGTGTGACCTAAGGAATAACCAGGAAAATCTTTTGTATTCACCTTAGAAGGCAGTCCAGGTAATTGTACCTTGATTAGCTTCTGACCGCAGTAACCATCCTGCACCAAAGACAACTCTAGCTAACAACTAGCATTTCTTCTACAGATTTACCAACCCTGGGCCAGCAACGCAGGTGTTGGGTGCTGTGCTGCGCTTGCGCTGCGGGTTTTCTGACCGCACTGCACCACCAAATCAATTTCCAAGTTGCGGCCTGACCGGCTGCACAACAAGATGTGTCAAATTTTGAGTTTTTGGGCCGCAACAGCATATATTGTGTTACTGCCCCAAAAAAATCAAAAATCAACATTTTTTTGGTGCTTTTGCGTTGCACGGCGCCTTGACTGCCGTGCAACCCAGTCAAACATTTTGTTGTTGCAGTGCTTAACGCAACGCACCATCTGCCACTGGGTCTTGTTGCATGTTGCGGAGCAACACACCAAAAAACACGCTTTCTGCAGCGCAGTGCGTTGCTGGCACAGAGTTAGATTTACCACAAAGAATTACAAACTCACCTCAAGTGTCATAACTAAAACTTTAGAACACAAGCAGGATACATTTTGTAATGTACATTCAACCTAAAGTCTTTTCAATCACTGTAGATTAAGACTCTCAGGCTGACAAACAGCCACAAAAACCAACAAAAACTGTTAAAAACCCCACCAAACCCCTCCGATGTAATCCTATGATGTGATTATTGCTAATGAATGACATGATTTAAGCTTTGAAGTCGATCAATTGATGTTTATGAATGATGGACAGATCTTATTATTATGAATACAGGTGATTTTTCCTAATACTTGTAGCTGGAAACCATTTTCAGAATTACAACTTTTTAAAAAGTGCTTGAAATTTTGATTACTATAGCTCATTTTGTAGATCTCATGATGCTGAACATTAATTGGGCTATTAAGAGCTATTTGTGAATCATGATGAAGGAGTTATTGAGCTGTAGAGATTGATAAAACCAGCTTTTTGTCATGTAAATGTTGCTACATGTGTGTATGTAAGCACAAAAGTCAAAATTCACACCAGTCTCTTTAATTCCTTATGACTTTTTCACAAATCCTCTGTTACTATTGGTTTGAATTTTTTACATGATAAAATGAAACATGTTTCTTCAATTGAACTGTCACTCATCCTGATCTGACAGGTTTTTACATATGGCTGAAAACCTTCAATTTCAACAATTTTTGTCCATTTTCACCTCTTTACTCATCTAAAATTGTTTTCTTCTATGTCATAAGAGCACTGTTTATCAATCAATTCATAAGATCATTTCCTTTCATAATAAAACCTTCCTGAACCCTCAAATCAATTAATAAGGAGCGCACTATTTGGCGCCTGGTTTGAAAATACCCAAAGCCCGGTTTGGCTTGATACTTTCCAAGGGTTTTCAAGCCAAAACTCACTAACCGGGCCGCTACACTGACTAACCGGGCATTTACACTGACTAACCGGGCATTTACACTCTTTCACACTCTCAAATTGGGCGGTAGTGTGTTTTAACTGGGCACTACCTTTGAAATTAGACCTGCCATATCCCCTCTCATCACTCGCTTGCTTGCTCACTCTCTCAATTTTACTTGCTGAGCTGACTTGCCTCCAATCTCAAAGCCAGCTCAATGTATTGGACAACCATCCATCAGGTCACCCAACATGAGACATTGTGCAAAGATGGTAAGTTTTGTCTCCACTCCTCCTGTTGATTGATTTTATTTTTTATTTTCTACCTTTGTTCCTTCCTTTGTTCCTTTCTTTGATTGATTTGCTGACAAGCTTCTCTTTTAATCATAGTCATTCTCTACTGTGGAAATCTTTTGTCTTACCCTCAATAATCACACTTTAATCATGCTTTGTCTCACTCTCATTTTACTCTTATTATCTTGTCACTTGCTGGTTATTTATTATTATTCTGTTTGTATGCCTTTCAAGAAAGATGTACATGAAATGAAATACAACCTGAATGAACCAGAATCTTTGTGGGCTCAACATCAAGCAAGAACATTGATTGAGCGGCAAGATTGTTGAACAACGCAAATTGGAAAGCTAGTGAAAAGATAGTGAAAACAAGAGACATGCTTTCTCATTATTTGATTGACAAAAAACATAAGCCCGGTTTGGCAATCTGTCACATTTTGAACCAGGCGGTGAAAAGTTTTGAAATTTCAAAACTGGGCATTGCACGTTTTAACTGGGTGCCAAATAGTGCGCTCCATTGATAATACCCTAAAAACCATTTACCCCCTGATATACGTACATTTTTGACTTTTGTATGGATTTTCTTATCTTTCTTCTTTCTGATCATGATCTTATGATTCAAGTTGAATAAATTTGAAAAAGATTTACAGTCTAACATGTGCAAATGCATACCCACACAGCTGCATAACCCATGATGATGCATAGAAAAATCCTCAATCTTGAGGCTTTTTACTGCCAAATTTGACAACAGAATTGCATAACCTGTCAAAATGCATAGCAAAGGTCTTCCACCCAAATTATGCAATTGCATGGGTTAGACTGTACCCCTCAAAAAAGGATACAATAGATGTCAGGAACCAAGAGGTAAAATAATGAGAGCTCAGAACAGATGAAATTGGTCAGGGTAAGTGTGAGTGGAGAGAGGAATGGGAGAGGAGAGTATGTCAAAGTTATAGAAAACATCTATAGAAAACATCATGCTCACCGGATGATATATGCCCAGTGCAGAGTTCCGAGTGCCTCCATCTGAGAATTAACCCACACCAACACAGGCAGCAGTAAATGACACTCGCAAGTCCGTTCTCCAATGTGGAGTACTCCTCATACAGTTCACATGGGAAGCACATGTACTCTCCTACGGGGCTAATACCCATGCAAAGTGAGTATGAGTTGGGTATAGGCCTAGATGCAACTCAACTCAAGTGATTTGGTTCTACATCACGGGGACCGCGCGGACTGAATATTTTCCCAATGAAGCATCTACCATTCTGTGATGATGCAGGTCAGAAGGGCCGGAACATCATAATCCAATGGGTGGTTTTGCTCGCATTATGCCATTCAATTGATTGCAAAATTGGACACCTTTTTCAGACATATTATAATAGGTGCGAAAACAAGAAACAAAGAGAATACAAGATATCATTACATGTAATAAAACTGCGACAGTAGCTTTTAAGGAGGGGTACTCAGAGATCACGCTTTGGGCTCGTTGATAACAAAGCGTACACCCGGCTTCCGATCGCCTGGGTTTTCTTGCGGTGCCTTCGTCTGAGGTGTCGTGAGTTTCAACTTGAGTAGCGGGTAAGGTTTTTCTAGACTGTATTCAGGCGCGGGATACTGCGAATAGGGTACCTCGTGGACTCTCTAAGCATGGGAAGAACACATCATCAGGATGAATAATTTTTACGTCAACTGTAACAAAAGCTCATTTCCACGCACCTCCCATGCTTTTGCAGTCGATTGGAACAGAGCATTGAGTGTCGGCTGATCAGACACTCGTTCCGTGAAACTGTTCAAATAGTAGTCCTGGGTCAATTTTAACTGAAACGCCCAAGATGGGTGCGGGAAACTTAACTGGTCAATTGATCGACCAAGAAAGGAAAACATCTCTTTACTGTATCTTACACCCATCAGCTGATGTGTTCTCCAGGCCAAGTCACTAAACAAACCCGAACGTTAATAGATGTGATCATGATGCAGGTAGCGTTAGTGAGGTTCAAAAAAGGCTTTCGACGACTTACATATCGTAAGTCGGAATGCAAATATCGAAGGAGGTTCCGTCTCGAACTTTCAATAGTTCTACAAAACTTTGATAGATAAAACACACGTCAAATTACCAGGGGATGGATATGAAGAGTCTGAGGTGATGCAAAAAAAGCATCAACTTACGCTTGGTACCTTGAGACGGCTCGATTGATAGCAAATCCTGAATACGTTATTTGGCTGACAGCCTCAACATCACGTGAACAAGCAGCTTCAGTCCAGCCCAAGTCAACAACAGACTTCGTGAAAGACTCTTGACGCGTCATCTGTAAGACGAAGGTATGTCAGCACGCATCGATCAGCAAGACGATGATAACCACCAGCTTCAAAAAGAACTCAACCGCCACGATCAGGTCCGTAGAGAATGGTTCGGGGACACTGTAGGCGCTCAGCATCTGATTCACTCCATCGGTTGACGAGATCCTAAGGTGGAAGGAGTTAGTGGGTATGCTATGACCTCATAAGAGATTGCGAATCGAGATACAGACTTCGGGACAGCAGTGAGTACTTTGATGGTTTGTATTGCAGCTTGGGGATCATGTAAACGTTGCTTAACGGACGACGGAGCTATTGAGGCGAGGATGCGCGTAACAAGGAGGTTGAAAGTTGCAGCGTGCTGCTTATCTTCCAGGGTCTTGGTGGTAGTGAGCGTCCCGCTACACAAAGCCATCAAAGGTTATTCAGCATTACTTTTGCGGAAAACTGAGAGGAGTGATAAAGACACGTACGCCAGCGATGCAGAGTCCGAGGGTGGTGAAGAGGACAAGGATTGTATGTCATAGAGAAGCCTGTGGGCAGCTAAGTCTGACTTTGTTCCTTTCCACCCACAATCTTCACACTGCAGTCTACAGTTGTAGCTCTCCGCCCATCCAGTCTGAGTTGCATTTGTAAAGGCTGATGTTTGGAGAAACCAGCCATGAAGCTCAACGTGAGCGGATATTGAAGTGGCGATAGTTATAAGGAACGACAGTGGGGGTGAAGATGTGTTGTTATAAATCAGTTTCAGCAAGTTTCATGAGTCTAGGCTAGCAAGAAGTCCGTAAAATGTATTAGAAGAAAGCCAAACTGAAGGTAAGTGACGCACGAGAGTTGATAGCCGATTTACATATCGGACAAAGGAAAGTGCGCAAGGATGGATTGTTGAAGAATCCATTCGGACAATAGTTGGTGTTAGTACTTTCGAACCAGTTGGTAATCGCCTGATGGGGAATGGCCACTCGCAGTGGATCTGCCTTCTGGCGTGGCCGTAAGTACTGGTTGGCCTACATACATGTGTCACGGTTAATGACGTTGTCTGAATCAATGCGCAAGATCATTCATAGGCTTACAGCAAGGGCGAGAGGGAACTCGATGGTATGAAGGACCGGATAAAGTCTTCGAGAATCCTCATAGTAAGCTCTGAAAGTGACGCCCCCCAACCACAAAGCAAAATGAGACAATCGATATCACTTGAAGTCAAACAAGCAAGTTGAAACCGCGCTCACCGCGATGTCAAACAATAGGCGTGCCAGACCATCAACACATCAAGCGGAGGGAGCGTCTCTACATCGAAGGGTTCAGGAGTCAATCTGGCGACCCAAAGCTCGAATCGGAAGAGAGCCATGTGTAGAAACTCCGGCTCAGGTCGAAGTTCGCGAAGATGATGAAACGCGTTGAGAAGGGTGAGATGAGCTAAGAGCTCTGCATTGGTGACCCAGAGCGCTCGTGGTGGTTCGGTAGGCAGCATAGGCTTTAGATTTTGCTTGGATGTAGTGTGAGCTGAAGAGTCAAGGGATAGAGAAACTAGTGGTATGTATATTCACCTCGGAAGAGAGGGAGAGGGAAGAGGTTACATTTAAGTTGTTTAGACTAGATCTGAAATCAGTTATTTGTTTTGCAACGTTTTGCACAAAGTTTTGCATCGGTGGATAAAATGTACAAGATGTGTCATAGGAACGACGCAGGTGAGATACTTTTGGATGGCCTACATTTCAAAAGGTTTCTTAGTGAGGGGCTTCGTGAGAACCACGCAGGACACATGCGCGCAGCAAGCTGATTATCAAATTTCACTTCATGGGAAGCGAAGCCGCACACACCGCCATACCTGTTCTCACTGCAATCACCAATGAATATGACGAAAAATGAAATTGGCAACAAAAGGTGAAGAGAGTGATGAAGTTGAAAGCTTAAATGAGGCGCACCGAGCCCAGATCCTCGCGCGTGGTTAGCAGGGGTTCCACTTTAGGAGTAGTTTTTGACTTTGAGATTGGCGAAGATCAGCGTAAAAATTACGCCTCGTGCTTATGAGGTTCAGCTTGGGAATTAGTCAAGTTTGGATATTTATCACCTCACAAAGTTCATGATGCCAATAAGCAAAGTTGACACGAAGTGCGATTGAAATCCCTCTGAGATGGGCAAAATCTTGGATATTAGACAGGGATGATATCAAATACCTTGTTTTAATCCTCAGCCGTAGGCTATCAGGCACTACATTGTGCTCCGCTCCGGTAAAAACCCCTTTGGGGAAAAGGAAACGTGCTGGCTGGTTAAAACCTAGTCAGCTTAACTAAGCCCTTCGCGCGTCGCAGAATTGGCTCGCGTTTTTTGGTGAAGGAACTCCACATTTTGAGTACCATTATGTAATTTGTTTGACTAACATATTTGCTTCATCTGACCGCAAAAATTGTTAAAGTGTTACAGCTGATTTGAGAATGTGAAAAGTGCATCATGATGCAAAACTTGGTTCTCTTCTTGACCAAGATTTGTTTCTCTCCTCATTTTGAGAATACAAAGAATACAAAACCTGTAAGAACACTTTTTGGTTGGTTTTGACCACTGCGGCAACACAGATTTTTGTAGAAGGAAATCAATCATTCTCAAATTGGCTGTAGCATGTCATTTACAAAACCTTGTACCACTGGCAACAGCAACTCAAGTCTGTGACACTTGTGAGAGAGGTGGCCAGAATTGATTCTTACAGGTCAACCTTTGACAGCTCAGGATGTCCATTCTTCATCCTCCCCAAGGACATTGCACGGTAAACTTGACAAAGTCCCACGCTTGTGCATCCTTGTGAGGCGTCGAGCAAGGGACTTACGCCAAATGTGTACACTCCAAAACCTCAGAGATTTGGGTTTGGCAGGGAGCTTGCCTTATACCTTTTTCCACACCAAGGATTTGGGCATAGTCCAAAGGAAAAAGTTGAGCGCCTGCCTCTTCCGCATAATGTACATATTTTTTTCCCAAGGAAAGTGCTTCCCTCTTGCCTAAAATGCGCATATTGGCTCTTAACAGAGGATTACACATGTAACCTCTCTCTCGAGTCCAAATTTGCTGCTAAGACCCAATCTTTGAAGCACATTTGTGGTAAGAAGGGATTACCTTCCTCGAGAAAAAAATTGTAGTCTCAGTGCAAGATATCAGCGCACAAGTTCTCTCTTTGGACTATATCCAAATCCTTGGGGTAGTCTGGGCATTAGGACTTGGAGCACGCTCCCTGCCCACCCAAATCTCTGAGGTTTTGGAGCGTACACAGTTGGCGTAATTCAGTTGCTAAACGCCTTGCGAGGATGCATGAGCGTGGGACTTTGTTAAGTTTAATTGCACAGGTGTCATGTGGTGGGCGCAATATTTCAAAAAAGGTGTGCCCGGTTGCACCCAAGAGGGGTTGGGCACGCCCACTATTTGGCTGGGGGCACAAGAGGGCACAAGAGGCGCAAAGAAAAACAATAAAATCACATCCACTTGATATACACCAATCATAATTGTACAAGATTTACATTTACAAGCATCATCATTTGCAACTGATATTTGTTCATCAACAGCAAGCTCAGGTTGGAACTGCAAAGTTTCACAAGAGTTACAATCTGTGTTATTGCAGACATTATGGGTTGGTCAAACATTTACGGGATACAAAGTACAAGTCCGGGCACATGCCCAGAAGTCCAGATTTTATTTTTGGCTGTGAATTTAGAATCTGGACTTCCGGGCACGTGTCTGGGCATGTCTGCAACTTTGACCCCTTGGTCAGCCAAAAAACATGGAAAACAAGAACAGTATCTTGAATTTTTGAAAAAGAAAACTTGAAGTTTCCTTGAATTGACACATGGCCCTGGAGTTTGTTCAACTACCAAGTTATCAAGCTATCATGACTAGAAGACCAGACATCAACCAAGCTTTGTTTCAGCAAATATCATTACTGAACGAAACAGACTCCCTCCCACTATCATGCATTTTGAAACAAACTGCAACTCTCAAAGCATGAAGTAAGACTTTTTGTTGTTGCTCAATGAGGGCTGTTTGAAAACTATCAGTTTCAAAACAATCAGCTCAAAAAACAATCATTTGAAGAACAATCAAGTTCCAAACAATCAATTCAAAAAGAAAAGGATTGAAAACAGCCAATTTGAAAACAGAGCAGAAAAAGGGAGGTGTTGTGTCAAACTCTGGTTTTTGGGAGTGGTGGGTTGATGCATAGCTCAGTAACAGTCCAGTAATTTGCCAATACCAATTTGGTAGAGGTCCATTAAATTCACTGGACTCCTATCAATTTTGGGATTGATTCTCTATGTACCAATCGGTACTTTGGAAACAATTGCAGATTTTGAAGCTTGATATGGTAAATTTCAGTAAAATTTACCATACCAAGGTCATTTACCAAGAGAAAAGTGTATGCTCTCAACCAAGTCCCTCAATGCTGAGACAGCTGTCATTCAAGCAAGTTGAATGCACATGTTTCAGCATGAGGGACAGTGACTTACATCTAGACTCAACATTTTGGCTTGAGGGGTAAGGATTCCTTTGCAGAGGCAATCTGCATTTCCCCATTTCTGTGAGCTCACCAAGGATCTTTTTACTGCGCATCATGGGCATACGTGCTGCCATTTGTTTCAAAATGTAGAGCTTGAATGATCAAAATTACTTGGTTGTGTGCTGAGCTACATATTGTTTTAATTTGACATTTTCACATGTAGCTCACATTTAGCTCTGTGGTTTATAGGAATAAGTCCCCAACTTATCAGAGCTACATGTGAGCTACGTGTGAAAATCACAAAGTAGCATACACTGCAAATATAATGTGTTTCTCCACGGTGAAAAATGATTACATTTAATTCAAAAAATGATTGAAAGTGCATTAAATCTACATTAAATCTGCATTTTTCTGCATTATATCTGCATTATTAATTATCTTGTGCATTAAGTGCAATCATTTTTCACTGTGGAGAAACACATTATATTTGCAGTGATAGTATGTATCTCAGTGAGCAACCAGGTAATCTCAACAATTCCACTTGTAAATTTTGAAGAGGGGGTCAGCGCATATCCCCATGAAGTGTTGTAAAAGATTCCTTGGTGAGATCATGCAAAAGTACAAATCAAGATTTCATCCGCAATGAAATCCCTAGGCCTCAGGCCAATAACACAAAATTAGATGTAAGTCCCTCATGCTGAGACATGCAGATTTGACTTGCTTGACAGACAGATGTCTCAGCATTGAGGGACTTGGTTAAGTTACTCCTTGCAATGTCTTTTGGCTTCTTCCTGTCAAAGATTTGAGTCCACTATACACACAAGAGGGAATCCTGGGAAATGTTCCATAGCTGGCTCATTATCAGGCCTTGACAGAGGTCTGAGATTGAAAGAAAATTGTGTTGCAGGGCTTCTCACAACAGAGGAACTTGTGGGTTGCAAGTAGTCTGCTTGAAATTTCTCCTCCTTCTCCCCCTTCACAAAATTTGGACATGATTGTTTTTCTTTTTTTCTCCTACATATTTCACACCATCATACTCACTTGTTGCTTTTTGTTAATCTGCACTTCCTTGAACCGGGTTTTTGCTTAAAGTATACTCCTGAATCTCCTTTGAAAAACTTGTGGAGGGACAAGAAGACCCAAATCACATTGTACAAAGTGCATGAAGTGTTCTTCATCATTTTTATACTGAGAAGATGAACAAGTTTCCCTATCAAGTCAGTCTCAGCTTGCTTCCTTTTTTTGTTATTGTTATTGTTTTTTGTTTTGCTTTTGTTCCCCGTCTTTTTATCTTTGGTTTATAACATTGAATGAGATCTCAAAGTTATACTTGCTTGAAACAACTCTTCAATCCGGCCGTATTACCCCAAACCAAGAACTACAGATGCTCTACGGTGCAGCACGTTCCCTGCACCCAGAAACCAATTGGAATGGTTATAGCAGAGCACGGTTTTAGTGGGGCAATTGCAAGTCTTTCCGTGCTCTCAAGTTTGGCAAGATGTATCCAGCAAGCCAATCTGAAAGATGCTAAAAGCTATCAAGAGACAAATATCAGAACATGCCTCTTTTGACAGTGGTTGATACTCTACCTCCAACACACGAACACAGTACAGCGCGCTGCAGCACCACAGCTTCATGACAATGATATTGCAGTGCAGTTGTAGTGAACAAACACTGGAGTGCGAAGATGGTGCAGCTAAAAAAATTTCTGGGAGCCTCTGGTTGCAGTCAATTGCAGTCCAATCATAAAAAAACACAAAAAAATGAAACAAGATGGAACTCAAGAAAAATTTATCAAGTTGACATCAAGTGAGGTAACAGGATTGAAAGGTAAACATAAATAAATGAAGTTGTACATATGATCAAAATCAAACACCTACCAGTTATGCCCAATGCAGTGTTGCAGGGTACCACCTGTAGTTTCCTCCTGCAATTGTGGTCTGTTGAAACCACAGGGACAGCTCGGGCCACTTTTACTGCAGGATGACCACAGCGCC